CCCAAGCATACACACGCACACACACATCATAGAATCGTAGAATTTTAGGGGTTGAAATGGACCTTACAGATTATCTAGTCCCAGACCTCTGCCCTGGGCAGGGACAGCTCCCCACTAGACCAGGTTGCTCAAGGCTTCATCCAGCCTGGCTTTGAACACTGCCAGAGTTGGGGCATCTACTACCTCCCTGGATAACCTGTTCCAGTGTCTCACCACCTTCATGGTAAAAAATTGTTTCCTAATTTCTAACCTAAATTCCCCCTCCTTCAATTTGAACCCACTAGCCTTTGTCCTACCACTGTAGTTCCTAACAAAGAGTCCCTCTCCAAAATATATACATTTATATTAATCCTTCTTTTGCTGGATGTGATTCCTCTTAACAGTTTTTGAATTCACCAGAAAGAATACAGGGCCAAGCACCCTGCATGGCCATTTGGTTCTTAGTGAGAGACAACTCCCTCCCTGCCCCAGGAATAAACCTCAGGTCCTGTTGTAGGCCCATGCTCCTGCAAGCAAAATCCTCATTCAATGAATTTTGGCACCTATGGTAGCCCTCACAGGAAAATAGCCTAAAAGGCACTCCAGGATCTAGAGCACAAAGTATATCAACTGTAGGGTGGAATTTAAAACTAACTAAATATCAAACATGGATAGCAATGCTGCTCCTTTGTATCAACTGCAACATGTATGAAACTGTAGGTCTATCACTCAGTGACTATATCAGACCTGATTTTTCCATGTAAATAATTAAATGCACAGTGTATTCCATTAAGGGATCTCTGGCTCCTATATAGCTGCTATAACATTACAATTACACACTGTAATTCTAATGTTCAAAAACACTAATCATTCATATTACATTTCCATAAGCACACTCTAAAAGGCGTTTCTTATTATTAATCTTTCAAGACTGGCACTACTATTTCAATTTTTAAAAGATTTATGGTCTCATATTACTCCTGTTGTTTCAGTAAATAAACACAGGAACGCTTGAAAAATGGGCAACAGGCTCCTTAGAGTGCTGTCCTTGAATTAATCTGGAAGGACACTTTCTCCATATCTCCTCAAAAACCTCGTCTACAAGCTATCAATCCACCCTATTGTGGCTAGGGTGAGTAACAGATGGAGCTAGCTGATTTTATTTATTCACTTATTTGTTGATAAAAGAAATGCCCAAAATGGACCAGCTCGATGAAGTGGGTTAAGAGGTACAGCAGATGGCCACAGTCTCCTCACTGCTACCTCCTTCATCCCCGTGCCCTGGGCTGCTGCATGGGCTTTGCATGTTTCAAATGACACAGTAAACTCATCAAGATGAAGCCTGTGATCCCATTCCTGATCCCAAGTGCTCATGGCCTGTCCTTGGGAACACACCCCACAGGTAGAGGATCAAGGTACAGTGATCACATGAACTAATGGATTTTATGGGTTTTGGTTGGGGGTTGCAATTCAATGATACTGCAGCTTCCACGTGCTCCATGCCTGCAGGGAAAGGTTTATAAAGACCACAGGTGAGTCAAAGTAACAGGTTTGTGAGAGCTGAGGTTGCATCCTGAAGAATGAAAGCTTGAAATCAAGAATTAATTTTACTGTAATCTAATCTCACCACCTACCAGAACATTGTATCTCTTAGAGTTTGGAAGGAAATAATGTTGTTGACACTTTCCTCTGCGGAGCCCTGCAGCTATTAAAAGGAGGAAGGAAACTTATCTCATGATGTTGAAATACTTTCAGAGCGAAAGCTCCTGTTTGTTTTAGCTAAATGGAGGGAAATACTGGCCCTGAGAAGTTCCCTCACAAATCAGAGGGAGGAAATTCCAGGAGTTTACTTGGAAAAGCAGAATCATGGAGTTAGCAAACTGACTGAGCATGAACACTGATAACCAAGCTGGTTGTTGTTACAAAGGACTTGAACTATGCAAGAATCATAAGCACTGGTGGGTTTTGGCTGTTCTTTGAATTGCTTTGTTTGGGAATTATTATTTTTTGGGGGTCTTTGTTCAACGAAGTTCACTTCTCACAGAACTTTCAACTCAACATGAGTTGATCTCACTGTCTGCCCCTTACAAGAACATTTCAGTTCTTGTAACTCCTTCTTTCTTTTTCCACAATGAGCAAAAATAAACAGTATTTTCCGCTTTGTAGTATTTTCAGAACAAAGGTGTCCTCAGGTTTCATCATCTATGTATTGATATGTATGTATTTAATAATGTGGTAGGATAATTTAGTTTGGAAAGGACCTTGGGAGGTATAACTTATATGGTACAACTTGTTGTAAAAGACAACAAGTATTTGCATGCTTGCAACATCACAGGCCTCTGTGAAAGTCATAAATTACTAATTTTTAACCTTGGTCCTGGAGAAGGTATTGCTCTCACATATTTGAGAAATGTAACCAACTTGCATCCTTGGGGAACAGAGCAAAAGTGCCCTGTACCAGAGAGCTGCCAAGGATGATCAGTCTTGAAGTGTGCAGAAAGACATAGGGGTCAGAGGGGAAGGAAGCTACCAAAGGGAAAGGCAAGATGCTGAACAGCACTGGGTGTTCTCTAACACCCTCGTGGAGAGAGGCTCCTTTCCCAGCTGTTGCTGTGAAACACCATTAAAGGAGTCTAAATGATAGAACAGACTAAATTTTGCAATTTCATGGCCTCCATGAAAATCCCATTTTAGCAAAGACAGGATGAAAGAGAAAACATGAATGATTGATATTGAAGGAAACCCAGTTTGTGTCTAATATATCCTGGAGAAACTGCTAATGGAAATTGAATAGTCCTGAAAATATTTCCTGAGCCTGCAACTCTGATCAAGTAGCCCTATGGTGATATATTGCATGTCCAAATTAAAGCTGCCCTGGGGCACATGTAACGCCAGCAGCTGGTTTTAGTGTGTAGGACTGGATGATTTGTATGTTTTTTCTAGGTCTTTGACAGCATATTTTTATACAAGGCTAAGACCTGAATCTTCTACCATGTAAGAGGAACTACTGAATATTTAACATCCCATAGAACTGATGTTACTTCAGCATATCATTATGTTCTATATGGAAGCCTGGTGGTACCCCAGCACTGCAGAATGGCAGATGGTATCTTTAGCTAAAGAGTCACTTATGGAAGTATCTAAATTTATGGACCATACTGGTACATTTCATGAGAAAATATGAATTTCCACTGAATGTTCACAGTATTAAAATCTGTTCTAATTTACTGTGTTATTTTGAAAGCATCTAATACCAGTTCTTTCAAAGGGAGAGGCTTTATTAGCAACAGTGATGGAGCAATCTGACTGTAAAAGCATTTCTTCCATGACCCTGTGAGTCACTTCTGAAATAAAAGAACTTTATCCCTCACATCAAGAAATAATTTTTAATGGGTCTTAATTCATAATCACATTTTAAAACACCATTATGCACTAAAGAAAACATCAGAAAAAATACACTTGTGCATACAGAATGAAAAACTTTATAAAACGCATCCAGCCACAGCAGAACACAAACACTCCAGCTCCCCAAGAAATTCCCTATTGTGTTTCCATTCATTTTACAGGGAGCAGGATGAGATTGATAAGCTCCAGTTTGGACAAGATACCAAATAACCTGATAACTCAGGTTACTGCACATTAGCAGGGGAATGTGCTGCAGCTGAACCAGATAAATGCCCACCCAGTGTGCCTCATTGCCTGCTGGGTATCTAAACTCAGGATCCTTTAGGTTGATGCTCATAGCTGGAGCCCAAATTTCTTCAGGTTTTCTTTTTCCCTGTGTGTGGTTGTGGGGATTTTGAATTTTGGAATTTTTGGGGTCTTTTTTATTTTCCTTTTTTTTATTATTAATTCGTACAGAACTCTATGATATAAATACTTCTCAGGTGTCTAATATATTGCTGGTTGGAAGGTGACATGCAGAGGACTTGTTAGAATGTGTGTGTGTAGCAGTATTTTATATTATGCTAAAAGAAATTCTGCCTGATCTCTGGAGAACCACGAGTTGTGTATCACCCCAGTTTAATTAATAGCTCTGTCTCAACAACTCTGAATTCATCTGAGATGCTATGTATAATTTCATATTGAACAGCTATAATGTATAAGGTTAGTGTCTCCTTTGTAAGTGTATGAGGAGATGTTTTAGCAAATGCTTGATATTTAACACTCCTTATCACATTCAAATGCAACTCTCATTTCATCACACGAAGTTTCATCCTCCCTGAGTGATCTCTTGGGGGGTC